GGTCTTAACATATGAAATAGTTTAGCTACTTCGGGATCTTCTACAAATGATAATGATGCATTGGCCGAAATTATAGCCTTGAGTAATTGACGATTAATAGATGCACTTTCTCCAATTCACAAAGCTGAAGTATGTTCGGTTTTTGACTTATTATTTGTATTCGTGTTATGATCATCGTCTTGAGATAATAAATTTTTTTTTTCTAAATTTTTAGTATCAGTATTTTTTAAGATATCTTCAATATTGTTACGCTCATCTTGATGAATGTCTTCACATTTTTCTAATAAATGTTTAGCCATTTTCGAAGGTTCTCCGGGACAGTTCTGTTTATAAAAATTGCATCGTGCTAAATAATGTGAACTGTTTATCTTTTCACCTTCACTAAACCATTGCCAAATTGTTTTTTTTTTCCTTCCAAATTTACGTTGAGGAGACATTTGAACACAAGAAATTCAAAAAATTTTTAAACCTGATGTTATATTTATTAACGTTTATTAATTTTTCATAAACAATTAAAACAAAAACTGTTATAATCTCGAGAAATAGAATTTTACAAGTCTGCTCATATTAGGCTCGCATTTGATTAATTTTTTCTGGGAATTTGTTTGTCAAGATTGTTTGACAGGATGGTTTGTCGGGATTTTGTTCCAAACAATTACATATATATGCAGTTATTAAAATGCTTGCATAGCCATTTTTAACAATTACCGAAATTACTAATTATTATTAACTATTATTAACTAATTACTAATTGTTTTATTATTAACTAGCAACTCGATAGTCCCATCACTATCTACAACATAATCCAATGTTAGATTTATATTAATAACAGGCAATAGAAAAAGATAATGTATTTAATAATATATATCCAGTAAAATCGTGATCTGGAACCTAGGTAATAAAACTAAATAAGGTTAGATTCGCTAAATTAACAATGGCGCCACATAAAAAAAGTACTAAGAATACTTATTCAAGTAAGATTGTGGCTTCAAGCCCATGATTTTAAGCATGTTAAATTCACGATATATCTTCAGATTACTGAATTAAAGTCACATTTGTTAGATTAGTAACAGCACCACGAAAGGAGATAAAGCATTAATTACACTTACCCAGATAAAGACATAGCCTAAACCAATTATTTCAAAAGTACTTAATCTGCATGCAATAAAATGAATTGAATATTTTAGTTAATAATGAGCAACAAAAATAAGGCGAAGCATTAATAATACTTAAAATTGTGGCTGTGTATAAGAACTCAAATGTAATATTCACAATATAATGGTAGTGAAATCGAATGAATGGATAGAACATAAGATCAAATGCGCTTAATCTGCATAAAATGAATCGAATATTTTAGTTAATACTGCAATAAGCTATAAAAATAAGGCAAAGTATTAATAATACTTATCAAAGTTAATACTGTGACCGTGTATAAAAACTCAGACATGATATTCATATGAAAATATTTATTTATTTAATATAACGTTAATTATTTATATACTTGTATAGTCCAAGATGAAGATTTTGTGTTGAATATCTGAATCTAATTAGAGTGTCACTAAAAGAAAACCCGAAAATTTATATATGACTTATATTTGGGTTTCTTTTAGTGACACTCATATTATAATGGTAGTGGAATCAAATAATTATAAGATAAGATATAAGAAAAAAATTAAAAAGTTAGATAAATATATGGGCTGAGTACTATAGAAAAGGGGAAAATCAACAAAAAAAAAAGATCTTTGGAAAATCAATTTTTATATTATAAATTTTATAATAAATCATAATTACAAATTTTAAAGAGCTACACCGCAAAATTTTCTTAATACGATACTTTTGCATCTTAAGTGAAAAATGATCTTGATCTTATTCTAAATTAATTTATATAAAAAAAATTAATTTTAATAAATTTGTTAATTTCCTCCTTTCTATATCACCCAGCCCATATTTAGCAAATTAGAATAAAAAAATTTCTCTTGCATATAACGAAGCCTCATAAAATGTGCAAATTTCTTCTAATCATATAAATTCTTCAAAACTAATAGGTCACTCCCGTATGTTTATAAAAAGAGCATATTTTTTTCTATAACAAAATAAGCTCATATTCTCAAGCGTGACTTATTAAAAATAAAAATTAGTTCTTAAACATTATACAATCGTAAAAAAAATTTAATAGAAAAATGAGTAATAATAACCTTATCGAATTTTCTAACCTAAGCTCCAGTGTAAAAATATGTTCAGATTGTGGTAGCCAGAGAAATAAAGAAGAATTTTGTCATTTATATAAAGGTAATCCACAATATGAACATGCAACATGTAATCTATGCCATCTCAGATATAAGAATGCGCGAACAAAGGTGGATCCACTAACAAGAAAAAAAACAAAAATTGAAGCTAGCTTAAATATGCCAATACAAAGTGTTAGTACCACAGTGACTTAGACAAATATTAATTCTAGCAGATCTCTTTCCGACCTCGTAGATCTTGAATTAGATGATAGTGTTCCTCAAGAGCTGTCATCAGAATTTTTGGAAAAATTAATGAGAATGATAATATAAACGGACTTCTTTATACCTTAGATGAAGTGCAAGAACTCGTCGCTAAGCAGTTTCAAGATTTAGAAGATTCGGATGAACCAGTAAAATTAATCTTTGAAATTGAGTTAGATTCAAAGCTTATTGAAAGTGTTTTTTTAAATCGGGAATTTCAATTTGATACACAAGACCCAAAAGCAATTAAAGAAAGTTTTTATCAACTTACCAATATACTTCTTTTGCTATTCGAATATGGATCGGGTTACTATTGGGAAATATGAAATATATACCTTAATACTAGTAAGAAAGAGCTAACTAGTTGTGCCACTATATATCTTGGATGTACACAACATGAAGACAGACAATGGCAGAGGCCTGAAAATACACCAGTAAAGCGAAGAAGTAAAATTCGTTCTCAGATTAATAGATACGCATGTATGGGAAATATGATATTTACTATTGATCCACAAAAACAACGTGCTATTGTTCAATGCAGCCATCAATTAGCACATGAACATCCACAGTATAGACAAACTGAGTTTCCGGCTGTAGCAAAGGAATGGATCAGAGACAACGTCAAATACAATCTACAAAGCTCTGAATCGTACAGGCGTCTTCAACAATATGGGCTTATCGATGCTAATATACACACAAAAGAACAAGTGTATTATTGGATGACGGTTTTTAGTAGGCAGACATATATGTTCAATTCAACAAATCAGCTTTTCTCAGCAAAACAATATCTTGAAGAACAACAAGGCTTTAAAATTATTTACTATGTAGAAAATAATTTTGTAAAAGCTCTTGGCTTTATTACACCATTGTTAGAATACATTGGTATTAAAAATTTAAAAGAAGTTGTCATAGATTCTACCATCAAAACCAACCAGGAGCGGTTTGAATTATTCGTTGTAAATGCCAACCATAGAGAATATGGAATGCCATTAGTGTATCTGTTTCTTTTGATGTGTGATAGAACAGATAAATCATATAATAATTCAGGAAACACCACTTGTACACGTGTACAAGCCTTACGTAAGTTTTTTAGTAGTCTCCGGAATGAAGGATTGTTGCCAGCCTTTGTCCTACTAGATAAAGACGCAGGTGAAATATCTGCAGTAGAAGAGGCTTGGTCATGGACAGCAAACATACAACTATGTTACTGGCATTTAGATCATGCAATCACCCGACGTCTAAAAGATAAAAAAACAAAAACATCAGGTAAAAGCAACTGAAGCCTCCCATCAGTTTGATTTTATTGACCCTTTCTGGATCCCAGAGAACAAGGTTGGAAGCTTGTGTTCTGATGATCAAATCAAAAAAATTGTAAGTATGGTTAAACGGCATACAAACATGCATCCGTTAATTCCAGTAGCAAAAAACACATTTTTGAATTCTACACAAATATATCGATATTGCGTGCAAGAAGCATATCAATGTTGTCGAACTAATAATCTTCCAAAGTTGTGGAGTTATTTATGGTTAAACTGGTACAACAGGAAGAACTGGAAGTTGTTTGCTTGTTCAGCTTATTCACAAGCAATGCCTCTAGCCCATACAACAATAATTACTGAAAGCTATTGGCGAGTAATCAAATATAAATATAAATATACTTATAATAGACCTCGCCTAGATCGGCTTATACAGATTCTTGCTGAGCAATTAATACCGGATTATAATCTAAAACTAACCCATTACAATACAAACCGTAATCTTCCATCATGGTGGCAAGCGTTTAATAGTGAGTGGGACAAATATGCTGCTGCAAATATCGAATCTGGTATGGAGGAAAGATACCATATCAACATAATTAACTGGACATGTTCTTGTCCAGCATACTTGAATAGTCCCTATCTATTATATAAACATTTAGTTGCTAAAAAAAATGGATTTCATTTTTTACCAACATTTAAGAAAACAATACGCCGACATGACTATCTCTTACTTATTTTCGATGCTGATACAACAACTCCAATGATCTGCCAAGAAAATGATCCCTGGGAAATAAATAAGTTAAATATAATAGATGATATAGAAGAACTATCTACGAGTTCTAGCAACTTACCAAATGTAATATTAGAGACAAGAAATAATGCAATAGACGAAGCAAAAGAGAAATTAACTTACTATAATAAGATTTTTAATTCAGCATTAATGTTGTATGAAAGGGAGAAAACCAATAGTCAATTCGTAAAAAATTTTGATACCCTTTTAAAACCATTCGCCAAAGCCATTGAAGAATATGAAGAACAACTAAATGCCCTCACACAGCAAAAAACTTGGAGGCCAAAAAATAGTAAGCTTTCTTTTTGGTTGCATTGACGGTGTGAATCTCTTTAAAGATTACCTGACTCTTATTCAACAATATTTGATATAATGAGATCCTAATTTTCTAGAGTAGCATTAGTTTAGCTTTTGTTTTTAGCCTTGAATTATTAAAAGCAAATAAACTGTTACTTATCCGGTTATAAAACTACATAACTGTAAAATCGTCTTTATTACTACTATTATAATTTCATTTAAATTTAGTATATAAGATTATATCAGTAGTTTAAAAAATAAAGCTCAATAAATTATTTTTTTAGATCTAGAATTCATAATCTTATCGTTATATGGCTTTTCGAAGATATGTATTAATACGTAAAAAAAAAATTTTTGGATTCCGACAATGATTGGCTGGTAAGTATAAAGGTAGATCTTTAATCGAGTTGTAGATCGGTAGGGTCAGAAGTGATCTACATCATGTGATAGTAGGTTTTTTTTTGCCATGGCTAGGGTACTAATACAGTGTTGGCCGATGACTATGTCATACCATTTTTTTTCCTATATGACTTTTTGGTCATTGTTATCCGGTCATATTAAATACTGTTATAGAACCGTTTATTATTTTATTAGATTAATATTCCAATATTGTATAATTATTATTGTTATTATTTTATTATTTATTTTATTATTA